TTAAAACAATGAAATTTTGATAAAACATTCGCATGCATCATTTACCTTATTGCTACTACTGTATTACTACTTACACATCATTCGGTACACAAATGCGGTGTGTGCGCAACCGGAATAACCTGAAATATAAAATCATAGAAAACGTCAGATTATGGCTGCTCGAGAAATACCATGTCACACACGAATTCAGAGCTTCACCAGCCACGTGACCAAAATGGCTTCTTTACTACATTTAATACACATCACATCCGTATGTATATATAGCCTATCCAGTAAAAATAACGCGCACGCACGCACGCTGTCTGATACGCGCACAATATACTTACAACAAAATAACACATTTACGTTGACGTGTAAACGACGACGACCGTCATTTATAACCAAACCTAATTATCCATTAATTAACAAAAATAGAACAGAGCGTGCATGCTTATGGCAGCGAATTGTGCACGTGACACCGTATTTCAAATATCGTACGTTGCATGTGCTAATCAAACATTCATTATTATATAAGTAAACTTACCTACAAACGTAACGCGAAGGACGATGTATTGTCACCTATATGCGTAGAAGTAAAAACCAATGTTAAAATCAACGTTAACAACAATAATGAAGATTGCTCTAAAGATGTTTACTCCAGAACAAAGTATACAAGAGTTCACTCTGTGTTACCACCATAAAACTTCATGCGGTATATCGTAATTTTTACTAGCGATCGATGGGTAGCTTGTTAGCGCATGTTCTCATTGTCGCCAATGCACGGTCATTAAACCAACAACGAAATATATACGCTATATCAGAACGCGTTTGGGTGAATGCTTGCTCTGACAACGCCCGAACCCGTTAGTGTGGCTCATAGGGTCTATATCCCCTAGTGTACTATCGGAGGGTACCCTGGGTACGGTTCGATATATCGGAACGTACCCTGGTAACTATCTGATATGGCTAGAGTTAGAGTTAGGGTTAGGGTTAGGGTTAGGGTTAGGGTTAGGGAGTAGGCGTAGGCGTAGGCGACTCTCTAGACTCGTTAGTGGAGTAGGCGAGGTACGGTCCGGCATATTAGATAGTACCAGGGTACGTTCCGATATATCGAACCTTACCCAGGGTACCCTCTGATAGTACCCTGGGGGACATAGACCCTCTCAGCGTTAGTGTGACGTGTCATTTCTTTAACTGGCTCAGCGTCAGTAGACGAATTCTGAATATCAGGTATATTACAGTATACACAGTATATTTACATATTTATAATTACGTGATAATACATAATATGATATCAAGAGTAGATAATAGAGATCTCTATTATCTACTCTTGATGATATCTATGTTAGAACTTACACTGCTTGCCATGACGTGTCTACTGTCATAGCTGGGAAATTAGAAGCAGACAAACCAACACACAGGATAGCTTGTTCTTAACAGTGCTGCCCAAGTCACACGTCGCTCCTTAGTGAGGTCTCGCGAGAGAGAACCCCGTCAGGGCGTGCCAAACCGGTATAAATTACAGGTACTGAAGTAGGTAATTTAGATATACGAACTTTTAAATTATTTCCGCCGAGAGATGGCGCCACTATGTCATATTTAACTACATATACGACATCGGTGAGGTTCTAGTTTTACTAAATTAAAAAATAAAGTACAATAAAACCGATATAAAATAACGAACTCTAGACTCAATAAGGTGTTTTGTGTAAATTCGTACATTACGGAAGAGTTGGACCAGTGGGCAACCCCTGTCCCCTTCCCGTGCCGCGCTCCTGTGGGAGATGGGGAAGCAATGCTGCACGCAGGTGCGTGGAGTGAGGGAGAGAGACAAATGAGAGATGAGGTAGAGGGGGGAGGGAGAATGGTAGGAAGGTACCAGAAAGAAGGGTAGATGGAGCGAGAGCGAGTAAGAGGTGAGAAGATCGCCAGATAATGACATGTGTAGGAAGAGAGGAGAGAGAGAAAAGAGAGAGGAGATGCATGGGTAACGGGGCAGAGAGCGAGTAAGAGGTGAGAAGATCGCCAAAGGATGAAATTGCTAGTGAAGAGGAGAAAGAGCAGGAGAAAGAAGAGAGAGAGAGAGAGATGAGACGAAGAGAGAGGAGAGAGGAGGGAAGAGAGAGAGAGAGAGGCGAGTAATGGGAGTGCGAAAGATGCCAGAAGAGAGGGGTACGGCGAGAGGAGAAGAGAGAGAGCGAGAGAAGAAGAGAGAGAGATAGAGAGAGAGAGAGAGAGGAGAGAGAAGAGAGATGAGAGAGAGAGAGCGCGAGAGAGAGAGAGAGACGGGAGGGAGCGATGGGGGGGAGGGAAAAAGAAGAGAAAAAAGAGGGTGTGAGATACAGCGAAAGGAGGTAGGATGTGAGGGAAGGAGAGAGGGAGGAGGGGTAAAAGCTAGACAGATACCAATCTTAAGACGTTAAATACAAAAACAATTTCTTTATTAATCATACATACAACAACAATCACGTACACCTCGCGCCATCTGCCTTCGCTGCTGCTGCTACTGCCACCACACGGCAGTCACTACTACATGATTTTACATCGCCTGAACTCATCACTCACTGAGCACTGTCATGAATCGTACGTAACCTACATTCACCACTCAGCACAGCCTCGAAGCGTGTGAGAGGTCTCTCATCGTCTCTCATCGTTGTTCGGTTGAAGGTTTTCACGTGCCATTGGTCTCGGCAACGCTTGTACCCGTATGGCAGGAAGGATTCGCTAACGTCGCTTGGAAAGTTTTGGGCCGATGTAGAAATCGAGGGTGTGAAAACTCACTCTGATTTTACCATTATCGCTGAAAGTGCGCGTCCTATTCTTGGTAGGTCCACGGCCGAAAAACTGAAAGTCCTCAAAGTCGGATTTGAGGCAGTTCGAGGTAGTTGTAATCAGATAGGATCTGACCCTAAGCCTATATGGATCGAGGAGATCAAGCACGAATTTCCGGGATGTTTCAACGGGATCGGTAAACTTAAGGATTACCAGGCGACCATTCATTTGGATCCGAACTTTAAATCGGTGGTGCAAAGCTAGAGAAGAGTGCCTTACGGAATGCGGGACAAACTCGAGAGCAAGATTCAGGAGTTAATTCGTGATGACATAATCGAACCAGTGGAGGGACCGACCCGCTGGGTGAGCCCGGTAGTTATCATTCCTAAGAAATCCGGCGAGATTAGGTTATGCGTGGATATGAGGCAGGCCAACAAGGCTGTAATCCGAGAACGCCATCCGATTCCGACCGTGGACGAGGTGTTACAGAAAATAAACGGCAGTACCGTTTATAGCAAGTTAGATCTGAAAAGTGGGTTTCATCAAATTGAGCTTGATGAGGAATCGCGAGGGATCACAACGTTCTCTACACACTTAGGCCTGTTCCGTTATAAGCGCTTATAATGTTCGGAATCAGTTCAGCACCTGAACTTTTCTAACACATCGTGCAACAGGTGATCGCCTAATGCGAAGGTTGTGAGAATATTTCCGATGATTTGATCATTCACGGTCGCGGACGCAAGGATTATGATTCGCGATTGACAAATGTGCTAGCTAAACTGCACGACCGGGGACTGACTTTAAATGAACCAAAATGCGAAATAGCTATGCCGCAGCTCGAGTTTATGGGTCATAACCTGGGTGGCCACGGGATTTCGCCAACTCATGAGCCTCAGAAGTCCGTAGTTTCATGGGCCTTGTCAACTTTAGCGCTCGTTTTATTCGCAATCTGGCCTCTATCGCTGAACCGTTGAGGAGGTTAACGCGTCGCGAGAAGGAATTCGTTTGGGGAAAAGAACAGGAGGAATCTTTCCAAGCGCTGAGGGAGGCATTGAGTAACGCGGAGAACTTGGCCTATTTCAAAACTGGAGCAAAGACTGAGATCATTGTCGATGCTGGACCCGTCGGTCTGGGAGCCATGCTCGTGCAGAATCAGGATAATCAGAAACGTGTCATTTGCTACGCTAGCAGAAGTTTGAAAAACGTGGAGCGCAGGTACTCGCAAACGGAGAAGGAGGCCTTAGGTATTGTCTGGGCCTCTGAACGTTTTTATGTGTTCCTGTATGGGATGTCCTTCGAAATTGTGACCGACCATAAGCCGCTTGTGTACATTTAATAAGTGTACATTTATTCGAAGAAATCGAAACCATCCGCTAGGATCGAGCGTTGGGTCTTAAAGCTACAACCGAATATTCCGGGTAAGGAAATGACCGCAGACGCATTGTCTAGACTGATCAGGGACACTGACTGTGAACGCGAAAACACGGATCCCGCGGAGGATTATGTCAGACTAATCGTGAGGGAAGCATCCCCGAGGGCACTGCAAATCCGAGAAATTGAGAGCGCGTCCGCCGAAGATGATACATTGGACATTGTGAGAGACTGTGTGAAGGACAGTGATTGGGCTTATCTGCCCACTGAGTTCAAGCCTGTTCATGTGACATGACCTGTTCACGGACAGAGACGTGTAAGTCGTGTCATGGATGCCAGCTGGTCAGCCAGCCGTCAAACCCGGAATCTGTCAAACAAACTGAAATGCCTACACAGCCCTGGCATGATTTGGCCGCAGACCTGATGGGCCCGCTGGCCTCAGGGGAGTGGATATTCGCGGTAGTAGACTATTACAGTCGGTTTTTTGAAATTGACTTTATGAAGACCACGACGTCCGACAAGTTGACAAGTTTGGACAGGATGTTCACAAGGCATGGATATCCTGTCGCTGAAAACCGACAACGGACCTAACTTGGTATCTGAAGTGTTCGAGTCTTACCTCCGCGAAACTGGTAGTGAACACCGCAAAACGACGCCATTGTGGCCACAGGCCAATGGCGAGATCGAGTGCCAAAACCGCAGCATGCTAAAAGCTTTGAAAATCGCTCAAGTCGAAGGGAGAGACTGGAAATCTGAATTGAACAAGTTCTTGCTAGCTTACCGTACCACCCCGCACACAACAACTGGAGTAAGCCCGTCCGAACTTTTGTACGGGAGACAGATCAGGTCGAAAATGCCTGAGTGGTCAGAGGGAAACATTCGGAGTCAGAAAGACTTGGCCGCAAAAGACAGGGATGCAGAATCAAAGCAAAAGACCACTGACTATGCAGATAATCGCAGAAACGCGCGCGAAAGCGACCTCACCATCGGAGACCAAGCCCTCTTGCGACAACCGCGTCAAAACAAACTGTCAACTTAGTTTGCCGAAAAGCCGCTCATTGTCATAGAGAAGACCGGCAGCCAGGTGACCATTGAATCCGATCGTGGCGGGCGGTACAAACGCAACACATCGCATCTGAAAAAGTTTGTGGCCGACCCTGGAATCGTCGTTGGGCCTGACGACAACCCAGGTCCAGATCAAGTTTCGCTAGGAGAGATGGAGACACCATAACCTGAAGTTGTCATCGAGACACCCAGTCCTAGAGCATCTACTTGGGCCAGAAGACCGATCAGAGAGCGTCGTCCCCCAGCTAGATTCAAAGACTTTGACATGAGTGTTGAAGACAGTGACTCTGTACATGTAGTAAAGTGACTCTGTGTATGCGTTGTGAACCGTTGTAGTTGTTTCACTATAAAATCATTAGTCATTCCGCTATAAATCATTAGCATGATTAGTTGAGGAAATTACAAAGTTAAGTGTTAAGTGCAAAGACTGCGCTGTAGTTTAATCTTAGTTGTCAAGTTATTTAGTTGTGAGAAAGTTAATTCGGGAGAATTCTTGAGTTACAGAGTAATTCTGAATAATTCCTGTGTCTGGGGATTTACATTTAATTTTTGAGAAAGGAAGGGATGTAGTGTTTGACAATACATCTTTGCGTTCCGTTCACTACAACTTAACCTGTAATTTACACTTACCCCCGCTAGGGGCCGCGGAGTGTGGTTGTTGATAATAAATGGTCGACAGCCGAGTTGGTTTAATCCGTCTTCTAAGTTAAATCTGTAATCATTAAAGCACATGAGGCCGAGAAACCATAAAATAATCTTTGTGGTTTCAGGGCCACGGTGTTACAAATATTGGAAAAATTCCATAAATATGCCAATGGGATGATGAAAATAATTCAGTCATTTAAAACTGCAATTTACCCCCTAACCTCAGAATCACCCAATTATAACATGTATTTCATTATGCCACTTTCGCGAATATAAAGACAGATTTTTGCAAGTTAAAATCTTTGATTCTTGTATTACTGTTCTCCATAACACTTATTCGATACTTTTATTGGATTCCTTGTCCCTGAAAACATAGGATTAGCATATTTTAAAAGGTGTTTAGGGTGATTAGAGGCAGAAATACGGCCAAATATGTATTTTATAGCGGCCATTTTGAAAATTCAAAATGGCGGCAATACCGGTATCTCCGCAAATGTAAACATTGTTTTTCGAATTCCTCATGTTATAACCTTTCCAAAAATGCATAGGTTTGCTAATCTACCATGATTCTAAACTAAATTAAATTTATTGACATAGTGAACCTGACTAGTTGTTACAAGATGCCAATAAAGCCATTATTATAATAATTATTACTCTTGTATGTCTAGATCTGAAAGGCGGCTGATCAAACTGGGACAAAATTAATCAGTGTTACCACAAGCATGATGAGTCTTCGGCTGAATGTTCTTCGTACTGTATTTTTGAGCGAATCCGTTGCGTTATCGATGAAATCTAGCGGGGTCTTCGTTTTCGTGATTTGACCCCCAAATTACGAAAATGAAGACCCTCATCAAACTGCCAAAATATCACATTTTATACGTCAGGGCACCAGCAGACTCTTCCTCAATGTTGTGGTACTAATGGCATGGTTGAGGGAGTCTTCGTTTTTGGGTCTTCGTTTTCGAGGTCTTTGGTCTTCGGTCTTCGTTTTCGTAACACCCGTACTGGCAAGCAGTAAGATTTGTGTGCAGTCCTCGTATTTTTATGCTTTTACTTGCTAATCTATAAGAATGTGATTTTAATACCAGATAATTAAACAATTTTTGTTTAATTTAAAGGTCCAAGTACGGTGTTCTAGAGGGCAGATATTCTGGCGACATGATACAGAAAATTGGTGGAGTACTGCCAGTTAGTGTTCAAGGATTTGAACATGATCAGACTGTCACGATACTATTCGGTAATATATGAGTAATATCACAGTGTTAGAGCCAACCGGGAAGGTTCTTAGAATCAAAACTGAAACCGACTTGTTATTCATGATCTGTGTTTGGTTGAGCTGATTGTGTTATTGTGTGGCTTGTTAAAGAAATGTCTTCTGTTCATTAAAAGATATAGTTCGTGGTATCCTGAACGCGACATGGTGTCAGAAGTAAACATGGACATACAGTGATTATTAAAAAGCAAGCGGGGACGACGCTATACACGTACACGCGCGCACACTCGGGTACACACACGTGCACGCGGGTACATGCACGTGCACGCGGGTACATGCACGTACACGCGGGTACACGCACGTACACGCGGGTACACGCAGATACACGCACGTACATGCAGGTACACGCGGGTACACGACTCACGTACACGGCGTAGACACGCCAGTATAACACGCACGTACATGCAGGTACACGCGGTACACAACACGCACTAGTACACGCGACGTACCCTGGCGGGTACACGCGGGTACACCACGTACACGCGAGTACACGCCCGACACGTGCACGCGTCCACGCGACGTACACTGGAGATACACCACGTACACTCGAGTACACGCACGTACACGCGGGTACAGCGGAGATACACGCACAAGGATGCCGGCGGCGTCCGCTCGCACCACGCATCGTGGAGCGACCCGGTGACCACGCCAGATACACTCCCGCACGACAGCCGCGGGTACACGCGCACGTAACATTCCGCGGGTAACACGCACGTGTATGGCTGCCACAGTGGACAACAAAGTCAGAGACAATCATGACTGACAATAGTCTATGCGCATATAATCGACCAATGGAAGACGACGGCATATATGCCCTGCATTATAAATGACATAGACTGAGGCATTATTAGTGCCCGCTATAATCTGGAGCCAATCAAATCAATAGGAATTTTGTGCGCACCATAAATAACTGTCCGTCCCACCCGTGTTGTACCGCACCTGTCCGTCCCAAAAATCAAAGAATCTATCCCTCTTGACCCATAAATAAACTGTCCGTCCCGTTTTTACACTTCCGTCCCGTTTTACCAATTGCATGAATGTATTGGGACTGGTATCCGGCTCACCCTGCCTACAGCAATGAAACTACGCTTCTGCGACGACAGTTCGGCCGCGAAACCATCTACCAGACGTGGAAAAATCTCAGCGGCGGCCAGTGCCCATGAGCATAATTGGGGGCACAGCGCCCTAGCATAACATCATTACATTGTATTCAGCCGAACCAAGACAAGTGGCTCTCGAGACGGTCAAAACGCGGAGACGGAGTTATTTTATGGTGACATAATTCCTTTGATTTTTGGGACGGAAGTGGTCAAGAACGGGGACGGAAGTTATTTATGGTGGAACATAATTCTTTGATTTGGATTGGCTGCGATATATATGCGGGCCATATATTCGCAATTTATAGCGGGCATATATTTCCTCCGCTTCCCATGTGGTGATTATATGCGGGCAATAGTAATATCGTCAGTCATCTAGTTCTTGTATTTTGTCCACCTGGGGGCAATCTATAACACCGGTGGCAGCGCGGCGGGCACACGCACGTACCCCACATTGCTACAAGCCGCGGCGTACACGTCACCTGCACGCGGTACACCCACGTACCGCGACCCATGCTGAACACCTTGGCGCCGCGCATAGATCTGTCTGTTACAAAATCATGTGATGTTCGTAACGAACCACTCCCAGTAGAGTGACTTTCGTTTAACGAAAATTCCTCGCAGTAGCTGATTCGTAATGAAATCATTTCCGCTCGTAGTTCGATTTCGTTAACGATAATCACTCTTGTTAGACTTGATTCGTTACGAAAATCAAACTGATTTTTGTAACGAAACTCACTCGCATAGGCTGCTTCTGCGCGCGTACGACATCACTCGCAGCTACCTGAATCTCGTAACGACAATCCACTCTTGGTAGAGCTCTTCGATTTCGTACAAAATCATGATTTTCGTAAACGAAATCAAGTCATGGCACGAGCACCTGTGGCGCCCGCACACACACCCCCAATATCAAGAGTATTGGCCCGAGTGGCGGCCGACGAGATAGCCGTACAGAGATTTGCGTCCGAAGTTGAACAAGGAAATAGTGATCGTGGCAGAAATATGCTGCCTAGTCATCTACTGTATGGGCGGGATGACGCTATGAGCAACATATCAACATACCATTTGAGTTTGAAAAGGTGAAACAGAACAAGTCAATGGTTCGACTTGGTGCTCCACGGGAAATTGAATGAGAACAGAACTTTCGTGGCCGCACGCGTTGGATACAGGTAATTCAGCCAGAACGGTGGCACAGTTCCTACCTGCGAGGTATAACAAGGCTAGAGACGGCGAGAATGATTTCAGTTACGCAGTCTATATGAACTGGGCAGAACATTGTGAGCTTGCGTCACGGCCCTAAAGAGGAGAACATCAGGACAGGTAGTGAATTGGCATTACTGATAAAAGGTGCGTGTCAGAGGAGAAATTACAACTGACCCCTGATCTGACCCTTGCAAGAGCCATCGAAATAACTAGACAGACAGAGCAGGTGAAGGCACAAGTAACTGTTCAAGGCCACGAAGTTAGAGATCTGGAAGAAGTGGTACGACCATTTAAGCCAAAGTTTCAGCAGCAGAGTAAGCGCTACTACGGTGACAAGAATGCATATGGAGCCACCAGGCAGGGTTACTATGTGTACCAGGTGTGGGTCGAGCCATGGTCGGGGTGACAGCTGCCCAGCGAAGGACAAGCGCTGCAGGAAGTGTAAAAAGATGGGACATTTCCAAGCTGTCTGTCGGACAAAACAGGCAAATGAGGTGACGTCACGACATGCGAATGACAGTGGTACGAGTGAGAGCTATGATAGGCTATTCATAGGATCAATCACTCAGGGTCGGGATGACCCATGGCAAGTGCAACTGGAAATTGCCGGCAAATCGGTGGATTTCAAAATAGATACTGGGGCAGACATCACCGTCATGTCAGCAAGAACGTACAGTGGCTTGCATAACAGACCAGTATTGAAGCCGACAAACACCATACTGTCCAGTCCAGGAGGAACACTAACATGTAAGGGACAGTTTGTGATGCAGACGAGCCATACAGGGAAAATGTACAGCTTTCCAGTGGTCGTACTTACGGGCCCACAGGTTAATAATCTGTTAGGTCGACAGGTGGCATCACAAATGGGCCTAGTGAAGCGAGTCAACGAGATAGATAGAACATTGTTTGGAGATATTGGTTTGTTAAAGTGCGACCCGGTAAAAATACAGCTGAAAGAAAATTCCATACAGTATTAACACTGCCCGCAGGGTGCCATTTCCGATACTGTCCAAGGTCAAGTAGCTGGAATATATGGTGAGCGTTGGGGTCATCGAACCAGTTACCGAGCCGACAGACTGGTGCGCCCCTATGGTTCCTGTTGTTAAACGCAATGGGAATATACGCATCTGCGTGGATTGGAAGAAGCTGATTGAATTGGTGCGTCGGGAGCGATTTATACTGCCAACTTTTGATGATGTAATCCCTAAGCTGGTAGGAGCACGGGTGTTTTCGAAGTTGGATGCGTCGAGTGGGTTTTATCAAATGCCACTAGACCCTGAGAGTTCAAGATACACCACATTCATCACACCGTTTGCGTGGTACTGTTTCCGCCGTGTCCCATTCGGGATTACATCGGCACCAGAGGTGTTTCAACGTAAGATGACGGAGCTTGGACCTGGAGACATGGTACGGGTAAAGTTGGACAGGGAGAAGGGATGGAAAACACCGGGAGTGGTTGTGAGTCAAGCGACTACCCCACGATCATACATAGTGACTACCGATGGTTCGGCAACAATGCGCCGAAATCGAAGACAGAAGGTCAGCCTTGGTGATGATGTGGCAGTTCCTGTGGAATCCCAGGATACACCCATGTTAGAGACAGTGCCATCTTCTGGTGAACGAACTGAGACTCCAGAAGATAATGCGCATGAGATGGATGTGGAATCACATTCACCCGGTCCAGGGGCGTGTACAGGATTTGTACCAGGGGGGTCCAACCGTAACCCAAACTTGGGAGCACGCGAAGGGGGGGTGTGGGGAATTTTTTTGAAATTAGACCCCCTCAGATGCGTTTTCTGCGCGAGCAGGGGGGGTCCGGACCCCCTGGACATCCCCCCTGTACATGCCCCTGCGGTCCACGGACAAGCGGTCGGGTAGTGCGCAAGCCGTTGCGTTTTCGGGATGATATTGATAAATGATTATTGGTAGCGAGTAGTGTGGTTAAAGTAACCAGTGCTTTGTGGAAACTTTAATGAGTCAATGCATAGGGAAGTATTGCGTGACAGGGAGAAAGAAACGGTTGTAAGATTATATATTATTCGATTCTCAGATATGTTTAAAACAATGTTCTACATTCAGTTGAGTAACAGACAATCTCAAAAGAAGGGAGATGTCACGATACTATTCGGTACTACATGAGTAATATCAGAGTGTTAGAGCCAACCGGGAAGGTTCTTAAAATCAAAACTGAAACCGACTTGTTATTCATGATCTGTGTTTGGGTGAGCTGGTTGTGTTATTGTGCGACTTGTTAAATAAATGTCTTCTGTTCATTAAAAGATATAGTTCGATCGTGGTATCCTGAACGCGACACAGACCTTGCCACTGAGATCTGCTGCCAAAAAAGTTTGCAGCCTCTGAATCAGTTGTTCAACGCAACTGCGCATCAGATTGTACGACAGAGAAGAGGGCTCGTCGCAAGCAAAACACTACATGCATTGTGTATGTATATAGCAGTTCATATTACACATTATCAAGCCAATACCTGTAAAATATTAATTATGGACAAGGACTCATACAACGCATATTTTTTCACATTTGTTTACAGTTTCAATGCTTTAAAGAAACCAAGTAATTCATAGCATAGAGCTGCTTGAACTATTGTTTTATGTATACTGAGAACTTGAGTTTAAGCTATTTTTGCTAATATAATGGCCAACAAATCAACATGATACTGTTTAGTTTACAGTACAGAACAGTACAGGCCAAGCACAGTACCACATGCATCAATGACTGATGATGGCATACCAGTGGCTTTCAGACCGGCCGAGCCTTATCCTGATCGACTTATTCCACTACTGGACGATCAATAGCCCTGTTCAGGTAAATAAACCAAGTGAAGAATCGAGAAACCTATATATCTATATATCTATAAATAGAGTTAAGCGCTAGTGAGATATTGGGTAGAACAACAAATTTCACTGTCTTTTTGCTTGTAACAGAGATTCAGGTAATGGGTGATAGGTTGATATGCACTCATTATGTAACAAGTACCAACCCAGTTCCAAAACCTACGATTCATTCAATATACTTGGTGTTTAGCTAGATGTTTGGCAAGGATAAAGATTCGACAGAACAAAGCATGGAACCAGTTCCATGCTTTTATAAAGGTAAGCCATATTCAACCACTATTGAGGTTTTATGAGGTAAATTTTTCTGTTCTTTTAGAAAAGACAATGCAGATAAATGGACTTGCACAAATCTTTTCACTAAGCATGAGAGTGATTGATTTTCGTATACACTGTTTCTTTTGACTGCCTACAGATATAGAAAAGATGTGGGCATTCCACACAAAACAATCCTGATTTCGTCAGGGTTGAGGTGGTATTAAACTCGGAAGGTGGGAAAATCACCATGTTCAACACTGTTCCACGCTGATGCCGGACCAGTGGCTCAATGACAAAGTGATCGATGGGTATTTGGCAATCACCATCAAAGAGGCCCAAGCCAAGGTAATATTGTGAGAAACATATGTAAAATACGTCGATGTCTAATATGCAGTAGTTCTTAAAATATATTTACAACAGCCACATACTACCTGCTCATACTTAAGTCAATGTTAAACCTTCATATTAAAAAGATATTGGAACAATTTCTTGCAGAAGTATCATTCCATGAATTGTGTAGTTGCTGGCCAAATTTTCCAAGGAATATACAGGAGACTGTCTGTTAAAATTAAGGTACATCCAATAAATTGTTTGCACACCTGCACATTTCTAACAGGCTAAACTGCCTTAACTTTACCTTAACCTATCACCAGTAGTATCTTTAAACATCTAATCTCATGAAAATAATCAACACGAATAGAATAATTTGTAGGTGTACGTTAAAGTAACATGCTTACAAGGAATTTTTATGAACATGATGCTCTCTACCCAGAACAGAACTCTCTGCCCAGTTATAACGCTGGATGTCACTGGTTGTTGGTGGTATGCAACTATTACAGCATTATGTCTGCTAATTGATATAGCGACCAGTGCACCATTCTTTAGAAGCTAGCCGTCTCTGGAGTTCTGTAATACATCAGATTGTTAGCTACTTTGCTATATTTTTGAGCGTGTTTAAATCAAGATGAAGGTTAAGAAATACCAAAGATAGATTTATATAGTCTATGGTTGGAGGAAGGATTCGCAGCAGGCATAATTTGCTGCTTATGTTGGGGATATAATGTTAATGTAAATTTATGTTGAACATTTACATACTATCAAATTAACTTAAAATACCATTACATCATGTCAAAATGTCAACATTTTCCCACTATATTTTTAGACATGCACATGCTATAAGTAAACAGCATGTCACTGCAATGAATGATGACGTCTGTACATTTCCAAACAACACCATTTTGATGTAAGCTTTACATTACTTTCAGGTTGTTGATCCAGAAAGTAAACAATTTCTTTACTACAACAGTCTTGGTGAAGATGCTGGCATATGACCCACAAACTGTTGCGCAACTGGAGGTATATATAACTAAGTGACCCGTCCTGCAATCTGATCATCACAATGCTGTTGCTAATTATAGCAACGCAATATGGTATTGACCAACCTCAATATATTCAGACATATACATACTTACATAGACTTTTTATAGTACAGCAGATATGTGATATATTTCGACAGAATTGTGGGTTTGATGATAAAAGCATGGCATTTGGCACACAGTTAGGACATACCCTTAGGAATATTTTTGGATATAGGGACATCGCATATTTGTCCCATGGTAGCTTTGGCGGCCATTTTACAAAATGGCGGCCTCAATTTACCATTTTCGCCCATAAGTTGAACTATATCAAGTATGATTGGTGCAAAACACATTCTAGTGGATATATGTATCATTTGTTATTGACATGTTAAGTATAGGCCTCACGTGGACTTGAACACAATTATGTATGGTGGCCTAACAGGGACGCAAATGACATTTTTCTTCCTTGTCATGCTTATCATATCTGACAGATCTGTCTTGCTACATATGTACTAGAGCTCAGACATTGTGCATATCGTAAGCCTAGTATACACACATATATGACACTATAGACACATATATACACACTATAGGTGACACTAGCGATTCTGTACGCTGCCCGGCAGCGTATGTTTTCGCTCACGATTTTGGAACGCCGTACGAGTTGCGCGTGCAGCTGTACACATGATTGGCTGCTACCATTCGCGTTCGAACGCGATTGTTCATTGTTGGGCGCGCTGGTGCTAGACTGGTACTCGCCCCCACCTCGTTTACTCGACCGCCATCGAGTACTAAGCGGAGAGGGTGTGAGCGGGTAGCCAGTCTACGCTAGTGCAAGCGCGCATGCCGCTGTATTGCAAGCGATGAAAAACGCGGCAGAAATATTTCAACATTCTGAATGCGAGCGATGCGCCGGGCGTATTGGGATTGCGGAGCAGATTCTGCTAATTCTTCTTTCAGGTCACGGTTGGTGGTTTTGATCTGGTGGCTTGTACGACTAAAAGGTTATTTTGACTGACTGAACAATGGCCAAGACCGTTTTATGGTGCTTTGGACAGCCCAACATCCAGGCCTCATCTGTACACATGCTTTCATATCTGACACATTTGGAGACAGTGTGTGTTTATGTCAGAAATGACACTCTGAGGAAGCCTATGCTGTCCAGCTGAAGTCAAAGCGTAGCACTAGTTGTGGTTCTGGGTACCAGACTCTTGCAGACAATCTTCCTCGCTTCACAAGATCGGATGTCTGCCAAAGACTATAGATATCTCCAAACTGGTTGATGGTGAGGGCATTCAGCAACATTCGAGCTACACACAGAGCCAGGGCATGATTCGTGTAGACTCGAAACACAACAAAACCACCCAATCTTTGTTTTCGAGCGCACGAAGAGGAAAAAGCCTCTCTGTGAGCCAAGTGGCAGATGTCCAAGGAAAGTACAACTACGTTCAGAGTACTGAGATCAAACCACAACCTTTTCACAAGTGTTTCTTTTTGTGACGGAACAGGCGG